CCACCACCGTCCCCATCCCCACCAGTACTGGTCTCCTTTCAAGCATAGTCCCATGTTTCCAAAATTTCTCAAGGCGCTGAATAGACTTTTTTCACTTAAAAGACTGTTGTTTGGTGGGGGGGTTCATTTTCTCTTTCTGGTTGAGAGAAACAAAATCAACCCCACATCCCCTATTGATCTCTCCCATAGGATCGGGAAAACAAACAGAAAACTCAAAAAGCGTTTCCTTGGGGGTCGAGCTGCAGTAATAGATAGCAGAAAACGATCTCTGAAAATAAAGGGATTCAAACTTTTTTCTCGCAACAAAGAAAGCGTATTATTATTGAATAATTCTCGATGTCCACTTAAAATTTTGCTCATTCGACCGCGTTTCATCTCAGTAAGTGATTAGAAGCAGAGACATCGTCATACTCTCCCACGCTTCAGAAAAAAACACTCACGATGCTTTAATCTGATTTTTATAAATTGCACATAATATTTATAAGGCAACATTTAATCAAAATAAGTAACGTTACATTTTATTGATCATCCATTGAAATAAAAATGTGCATTGAACAGTGATGTTCTTTTTCTTTTTCGGCGCGCAGGTAATTACAATTCTTTACGGGCATCGAGATGGGCAACTTTGATCACGTGTATAGATAGTTCCGTTGGTATCACTTTGGTCAGAGGCACGGGTGGCTTTTGTTCGAATCCCAAGCAGGGGGATCTTGAATGCAGTTAAATGGACAATTTGAAACACTCCCTACCCATATAGCTTGGCGCTTTCAAAGATGACCCTATCCGAAAACGCATAAAAATGTAGCGATTCATTTCCAAAAAGGCCTAATTCGTTAACATGTATATTAAAAAAACAACTAAATGTAACAAATTCTTTTTAAAAAATAAACGACACACTGTTTGTCTCTTTTTCCACCGCTGTGGTCTCCCCTGCTCTGGCAAGACTCGGGCGGGCATCAATAATATTGGGACTCCCGATTGTTGTGCCCTCAAAGACCCTTAGTACCTCTCACTCCTTGAGCGCTGACCCCAATATTGTGGTACCCACTTTAACCTCTGTTTTGCTTTCATCTCTGAATTATCGAACGACCTGCGTAGGGGACAAATCCGCTGGAAAAATAAACAGTCGAGATGACTGGGTTTCGGGGAAAAGGGGGAATGGGAGGGGG